CAGTATGGTATGATGGAGGAATGAGTTTATCATGCCAGTCTCTAACTTAGTAGCATTCTACTCGTTCAAGGGGATAACATCCATCAGAGGAAAATAAGTCGACACATAGACGTGTCCATCTGATGATATAGCTTGATCTAGGAACGATCTTTCTTCTATCCATTTTTAAAATTGTTTTCCTTCTTGTTCGCAGTCTAGTGTGAAATTGCAACGAGTCAATAGTTTGGATAATTGTCTATGCACAGTCAATATTGTAAATCGAACATTCAGCAATATGGAAATAGTTCAAGCGGGGATCACATTAAAGAGAGGAAAATGAATTGAAAGTATCAATCTTATTTATCGTAATCGATGATGACATCCTTTTCGACCTACGCGATTTCTAAAATTGTTTTCCTTCTTCCCAATCTGCGCAAAATTGCAATGAGTCCATCGTTCGGCTAATAGCCTATACGCTGTAAATAGTGCAAGTCTATAATTGAGTGGAATGAAAAGAGTTGAAGGGGATAACCTACGAGAAGATGAAAGGAAAATAAAGTGTCTACGTGTCGATCTTAGATCATGATCGAGGATAACCTTATTTTGAATGTATTTTAAAATTCGTCTCCTTTCTCCTTCCCAGTTTTGTATGAAATGCAGGAGCAAAGAGTCAATAATGCTAATCTATTATACAGTTAAAATTAAAAGTCGTTCATGGGGATAGCATACAAGGCAAATAAATGGATACATGTCGATCTTATTTCCAATCTATTTTAAAATTTATTCTCCTTCCCGGTCTTGTGTGGAGTAGAGTAGCAATGAATCAATAGTGCTAATCTATGATGGAGTTCAAATACTTCAAGGGGATAACATACAAGTAGATGACAAGGAAAATATATGTCGATCTTATTTTAAATCTATTTTAAATTTATTTTCCGCGCTTGTGTGGAGTAGAGTAGCAATGAATCAATAGTACTAGTCTATCATGAAGTTCAAATTCAAATAGTTGAAGGGGATAACCTATAAGTAGACGACAAGGAAAATATATTTATGTGTATCGACCTTACTTTAAATCTACTTTAAAATTTACCTTCCATCTCCTTTCCGGTCTTGTGTGGAGTAGAGTAGCAATGAATCAATAGTGCTAGTCCATCATGAAGTTCAAATTCAAATAGTTCAAGGGATAACATATGAGTAGATAAAAGGAAAATAAATTGATACTTGTCAATCTCCAATCTATTTTAAAATTCGTTTCCTTCTTCTTGCCTGCCTCATGCAAAATATTCATGCGCTAATAATCCAAGTCTATCATTCAAGAATATTCAACTATTTTAAGGGATAGCATGAATGAGAGGAAATCCATTTATACCCGTATATCTTCTATTTCGACTTGATATCCTGGCAAGGGTGTCCTTAATTTTAGTCTATCAATATTTTCAACTTTCGCCTATTCCTTCTCACTGTTGTGTGATATGCCAGTAAATATGGCTAGTCTATAATTGAGTTAAATGAAAGTATCTCAACGGATATCTAGGCAAAAGGAAATCAATTGGATGCGCAAATATCTTCTATCCTGATGGGTCATAACCCTAATTTTAAACTATTTGCAATTTTTTCCTCTATTTCTTCCAAGTATTGCAAGATGAAATACCCATAAGTGCAAGGTACTAGTTCAAGACTGAGTTAAATTAAACTATTTCAAGAGACAACATCTAATTTTAAACTATTTGCAATTTTTTCCTCTACTTCTTCCAAGTATTGCAAGGTGAAATACCCATGGGTGTATGGTACTAGTTCAAGATTGAGTTGAATTAAACTATTTCAAGTTGTACGAAATGTCTGCTAGCAAATTATGCTAGTCCGTTATTCAGTTGCATTAGAATAGTTCTAGGGACGCATAAATTGATACGAATATAACTTCTATCTTGATAGCAAGTATTACCAATCCATGATGTAGTGGAATCCCCAAAATCACTGACTACAATTTCCAATTCCCTACAGTTTAGAAACATCGATCAACTTGATATTGAATTTGGAATTTTCCTACCCCTTACGAATGTTGTGTCAAATACCCATTCGTCAGTATTGCTAGTCCATCATTTAGTTAAATCAAGTTTTAGGCAACTATCTTATGTTTTGATAGGGATTGTAACCTTAATTTATTTGTATTTTCAATTTTTTCTACCCCTTACGAATGTTATGTCAAATACTTATTCGTTAGTATTACTTGTCCATTATTCAGTTGAATCAAGCTATTGTGCAAATATGGAACATTTTAAAAGGAAATTGTAACCTTAATCTATGCGTATCTTCAATTTTGGCTACCTCTTGTAAATATTGTGTGAAATGCCCATTTGTTCGTATTGCTAGTTTATTATTCAGTTGAATCAAGTTATTCCAAGCAATGGATGGATTTTTAAGCAAATATCCAATGTTTTGATAAGGGATTGTGATCTTAATCTACTTGTATCTTCCATTTTTTTCTACCTGTTGTGAGTGTGGTGTGAAATACCGATTAGCCTTTTTGCTAGCCTGTTATTGACTTGAATCAGACTATTTCAAGAGATCAATTAATTATATTAATTATAGGCATATAGCTCATATCTTGATAGTTGATCAGCTTAATTATAATCTATTTTTGAGTTTTTTTCTACTCCTTGTGTGAGTTGCGTGAAATACCCATTAGCAGATAGTGCTAGTTTATTATTCATTTAAATGATCATTTAGAATCGTATAGCTTGTATCTTGATCGATGTCTTGATAGCAAGCATGATTTGTTGATAAATCAATTCCATTGAACCCTATTATTTCAAGCTTAGATCAATCAAGATGAGAGGAAATCAATCCACGCGCTGTATCTTATAAAATTATGCTCAGCTAAGAAGGATATCAACATCGTTATATCCTTCCTAGCACCATTTCCTTTCAATTTTTTAGCATCTGAGATATAGAGTCAACCTACTGAGAATAGCAACAGTGATCAAAGATGGACTCTATTCTATTTTGTCCATTTTAGATCATGATTGGAATCATGATGGATTTATAATTGATCATCACGTCCATGACAACTCATTTTTTTCTCAACTCTTTGCTATTATGATCAAAATAAGACACAACATTTGTTAGCTAATCCTCTTCCTTACGGACCATTCTTTCTGCATCATGATGGATTAACAATTTACCATCACGACCAATATGAGATACAACATGGTAAATTAAAATCATGTCCGAGGCGACTTTTCATTCTTTTTCTCAACTCTTTGCTATTATGATCAAAATAAGATACAACATGAGATGGCAAATCCTCTTCCTTACGGACCATTCTTTTTGGATCATGATGGATTAATAATTTACCATCACGACCAATATGAGATACGACATGGTAAATTAAATCACGTTCATAGCGGCTTTCATTCTTTCCTCAATTCTTTGCTATTATGATTAAAATAAGATGCAACATGAGATAGCGAATCCTCTTCATGGCGACTCATCCTCTTGCTTAACTATTTACTATCTTGACCGAAATGAGATACAACATTGGATATGAAATCTGGTCCATCACATCTCATTCTTTTTCTCAACTCTTTTGTCATTATGATCAAAATAAGATACAAGATGAGATAGCTAATCCTTTTCATGGCGACTCATTCTCATACTTCTTAAATAATTACTATCATGACCCAAATAAGATACAACATTGGATATGAAATCTTGTCCATCACGATT